CATCAGGAGCACGGTTGACGCGAATCAATTAACTCGGCGAGACTTCTACAAGTTCATTAGGATATCTGCTTAGCGACTAGTTTGATTTTTTTCAGTGTCGAATTTGTTTGTTCGTCATGCTGCACAAATAGTTGAAAGCGAAAGGCATCTATAGTTTGACGAGGATATTTTTAACGCTGATAGTTGAATCTAGATACTTACTTCCGTGGGAAAGAAGAGAGACTCGTTTCTTTCTTCATTTTCATCCGGACTATATTTTTTAGTGTTTTTTGCTCCCGTTGCGCTTGTTGCGAACACTAAGTGCATCACGAGACAATGCACTATAAACTTTACGTTTCGGAATTTATTGTTCGTACTTAGCCCGTTACGAGAAACGTGCAGCCATCAGTGAAACTAGTTGATTATCCACCGACGCGTTCAGGTGACGGTGAATATGTCAATGAAAACTTCGATTCTCTTTGTGACATGTTGACTGTGATTATTAGTCACATTAAAATAGTGAATGGTTAACGATAAGAAGAACGCGAATTTTTCGAGTAATCATATCTATTGAAGTTTATTAATTTCGTTGATAAACATAACGTTAATGTATCCAAATAAAATTAGACTCATAGTTGTACAATGTTTAGAACACTATATTTCTACGATCTGTATTTATATAATGTTCATTTTGCATGCGATTCACTTGTATAAATCGAATTATTGCATCAGTCATCATTATACGTATTATAGGCATCAGTCATTATTTCGTCATTATTGTTACATACTAATTCCTTTGAAATAATACTTGAAAGTTTAGTGATTAAAAAGGTACTCGAATTAAGTAATATTTACCTTTGTGTAACAATATTACTTAGAGTTGAATTATATACAACAAATTACTTCGTACTCTATATAATAATATAACATTGAATGAATGTAATTATTGAAAGGTGTTAAGAGATACTCTTAAGTAACTTGTATGTCCCAGTCGAGGCTGCACGTTTGTCTTTCAAGAGTATATTAAGTGGGCATGAGAATTACTGATTTAGAAACAATATTGACGTAGAACAACGCTAATCCGAAAGGTTTGTATGTTTCGCGTAGGTCGACCTAAGGCACATGGACGAGAAATCCGGAAGCAACGTGGTGGATGTCGGTGTCGACCTATCCGAGTTCTACATGTCTGTAGAATGGGACATTTTAGAAGTGCCTGCTGTACGGTGAGCATCTACCTTTTATTTTTGTTGGTCCCTGCTTGGTACAAATTAATTAACTAAGCCATTTATCTGTCAACGTATCTGACTCCAGAAAATGAGAAATAAACAAATTCGAAGACGTGAATTACATACGTAAAGAGCTAATTAATCCTGCTAAGTTCTTCGGGTCTTTTTTTTACCTAATAACGTTCTTATTTTGTTAGCACTGTTCTCTTCTTTGTTTAATATTTCTCGATTTACACGTGTTCTGTTTTTTGTTCAAAATACCTTAAATTTGAAAGTAGTATAAGAAAATGATTGCTATACTGTATGTTCCTAGTTTTTAAAATATTCTTTTTAGTACATAGAAAAATTGAGGGCTGTATCGGGGATAAGTGTTTTAGCACTAAAATTGAAAAATATTCTGAAAGTAAAGATAATTCCCTTAACCCGTGAATTATTCAAATTAATACTCATAAGTGTTACTAATAGAAGAACAAAGTTGAACATGATTTTAATACGTTAAAAGATTTCAAATATATTAAGAATATCTTGAAAATGTGATTTACTTTTCAATAATGTCTCTCTTATTATAATATTAATCGTTGATTGATCTCTGTGACACTTTTAAAGAATTTTTCACACTAATGTAATATACTTCTTTATTCTACCGGAATTCAAAAAAGAATTTAGTAGGATCGATAGTCGAGAAATTTAATCTCTTATGGACACCTTTCATGTCATTCGACAGAATTGCGCTTTAAAGACTGTCCTCCTTTCAAAAAGGACAAAAGAGAAATTCTGGCATCATGCATTTCTTCTGTAACATTTTTTCACGAGTAATGAAGAAAATATTTTTGCTTTTTATTTCAATATTTACTTTTTCCATTCGATTTACCGTTCGTATTATATAGAATCTATTTTTAAGTAAATTTTATTAACATCCTTTCATTACATCTCGTTAATTTTTCCCTATATAAATAAATTAAAGCCTGTATAAATTTCTTCAAAGACAGCAACCTTAAATTTTAGGGCTAAATACATTTCTAACTTTATAGAAATATTTAAATCAGAACTTTACAGTTAGACCGTGTTTTTAATAATTTGTTATTATCATTATTTTATTTTATTTTATTTTAAATGATACGCGGATGGCAGTACAGTTAATGATAAAACAGTTTTTCCCAATTCTGTCTATCATATTCCACTCTCATTTTTATTTAAACTTAATCAACAAAGGCTAATTGCAATTTTTATGATTTCCTCTGTCTTAGAAACGAAAAATTTTACACCTGCTGCGACGAGCCGTACCTGGATATAACCTTTAATATAACGATGAGAAGAAAAACGCTTTTTTACACTGTGAACATTATTATTCCGTGTATGGGAATTTCTTTTCTTACGGTTCTGACGTTCTATCTACCCAGCGATAGCGGGGAAAAGGTGAGTAAGAGGTATTCTTAATGCGAAATAAATTTTACATTAAAAACACGATAACATTTTGAAATTGAAACGAGAGACAAAACACGATACAATAATTAGATAAACATAAACCTTAAGGATTTCATCTACAACTTTAATTTTATAAAATCAACAGTTAAGAATGTTTTATTCATTTCTGGTTTTTGATTGAATGTATGCAAGTGAAAACCATAAATACTGATTTACGTAATTCTATTTCATGTTAGTAACAGCTGAATGTACAAACAATAATAACAGTAATATTAATAACGATAAAATTATTTCAAATTTCGTTGTTTAAACACTGAATCATAAATATTATAAATTTTATTATCTACAGCAGAGAAATTAAGAGTTTCAAGATGTTATAATCATGTTTAACGTCGTTACATTGAGAAATAGCAACTGGTTCCAAACTTTTATCTTCTGTGTAAAAGCATGAATGAACTATAAGTCACAACAATTAGAACATTTTATGTTGTTATAAAATATAGTTCATATCGCTGCTCTTTTATTGTCCATAACAATGGTAGGCAAAATTTTATTCCTGTCTTTGTAACAGATAAGAAGTAGTAGGAGTAACCAATAAAATTGTGGATAAAATTATGTTAATAAGAATTTATTATGGTAATAATTTAGCCGATTTCATTCTGTACATTATTTTTCTTTGTACATTGTTGTATGATCCTCTTTATATCGACTTTTACAGTGAATTTTTTTTACATCTTGAATGGATCTGGAAACCTATTACTCTCAGATAAATTAATCATCCATGCAAATTAAGTAATCTTCCCACTGGAACGGAAGTAGCCATTGGAGAATTATATCGGAAAAATGTACGAATCAATGGATACTCGTCAAAATTATTTGCATTGTTATTTGATTGAATAATTTTCCAATGAATAATGAATGCTTATTATCAGAATGAGGTATTCCACTAATAAAGACTCGTTCAGTTTATTGACTGAATAATCTTATATATACATTTTTATTAAACAGTTCGAATAATGTATAATTTTTATTGATAATCAAGTATTCAAATCAATATGTTAAAAATTTAAAAATGTATCATTTTTACAAATTAATATGTAAATTATGATCGATATTATATTTTCAAAAATCATTACTTCAACTAAAATCGTTATAATTGGTCTCTTTATCACGAAAAATAGTCTTTTGAATAGTTTTATAACAAAGATACCAAATATTTTGAGATATATTAGAAAATAATGGTACAACGAGAAATGATACAATTTTTTCCGAAAGAATGACGAACATTTTTCAATAGGAAACTCTGAAAAATAGAAATGTTGTAAAATGTAATTTGCATAACACTGAAGTGTCTTTTTCAAAGTATACTAGATGAATATTCAAACCATTCGAACGTGTTGGAACCTATATGAGGCTCCAGATAGTTGAATATTTTTCGAGCAGCTCGCTATTCATACATGTTTAAACCTCTTGAAGTAGAAGTATGTCTGACCTGTTTGACACGTTTCATACAAAAATGAGTCCAAACTTGAATTCAATCGCGCAAGTTTGAACATCTGGAAGATAAATGTTTTTGACAACTTCATAGATGTCGAAGCCTTAAATCGTTCAAATTCACAGCTATCAATTTTTTAAGATATTTGTTTAACACTATTCCTACGAAATATTTTAATTTTCTTATTAAATCTAAATCTAAATTTTCTTATTAAATCTAAATCTAAATTTCCTTATTAAATCTAAATCTAAATTTTCTTATTAAATCTAAATCTAAATCTAAATTTTAGAAAGTGAAAAAGTAAAAAAAGGTTTGAAAATGTAGGTCAAAATAAATTTAAATACTACCATTGAAAAATTAACATATTTAACGTTTAGATATCGAAATCTAAATTTACAAGGAAACATGATTTTTGTAAACATTCCACTTGCAATAAATTGTTTTTAACCACAGGTGATTTATCCCTTTTTAGAATAAAAAAATAAAACAAACAATTTGTTATGAAACACTGTTAATTAGATATCTACTAAACAGTTTAATTGATGACTTGATACCTTAAGAAATTTTCTTTATTTATAAATGTTACGTATCATATTAGGTTTTTACCAATAATTTCTTCCTTTTCCATTGAAAAATTAAATCTTATTCTAGGAGTAAGAAAATTGTAGTTACCCTTTCAAAAGTAAACTTAGTTAAATAGTTGACTTCTTATTCGCAATTTTCATGACTGATACCTATGTATATGATCCATATAATCGTAAATATGTTAATAAGCAATATTTCGTTATACTAACTCGATTTGTATATTATTAAAAACACTGTGAATGATTTCAATAACCAGTACCTTAAACTTTCACTGCAATAAACTAAGAAGTAAAAAAGTTGCAATTTTCATTAATATGTATGCGTGTTGTCACTGTCACCAAACTCTCGGTTCCTTGTGGTCTCAGAACCGTAGGAGAAGGCCAAAACACAGATAGTGATTCAAACATTCAAGCCGATTCGAACATTAAGCTGCTCGAGCAGGCTTTTCCTCGCAGACGCTCGAAAAGTCTCGAACATCAAGCCACTGAAACTTCCCGCCGTGTTCACACCTAAAGTGCTTGAAGATCCGTCACTGGGTGCATCATCAATTTATGACCTTCTCACCTACTTGGTCTTATTACAACAAATATTTGTAAGCATCCAACAAATCACGTGACCTTAAAATGAGAACGAACTTGATACGATAACGTTGATATCACAGCAACTGAATCCAATAAAATGATCTGAAATAACAAAATCTAAAAGAAATTTAAAGAAAACGGAAGGACAAATCTAAACGGCTATAACGAGAATTTACTCTAGATATTGATTACTAGATAAAGGATTTTCAAGCTTTCGAATCAAATTCGAATGCGAGGAACGTAATAAAATGTAAAATATTATTAAATTATAATGATTGACAATAAAAATCAATTTTTGTATAACTTCAGCCTTTTTGGTGTTTCAATGAAGAAATGTTGTTTTACATAAACCTTGTATTACATAAATTAATAATTGATTAATTAAATAACTATAGTAAAAATTGGTGTAGTACATATATGTAATTATCAAAATGCAATGAAGTATCAAATCAGTTTCGCAATAAGACCACAAAAGTTAAAGACGAGTTCCATTGCATTAAAATTTATAATTAAACCTTATTATATTACTTATTTCCCATTATATTCGACGAGTTTCCGCTATTTTTCGGTGCATTATTTTTTTTACTATATCTATTCATATATTTCGATATATATTAAGAAATAGGATTTATAATTATGAAACAGGAATTTTTGAACAATCTCTTCATTAATTTTATTATGTTGAGCTTATAAGATATTTTTATCTCTATTGCACTTAGAAACTCACGATCCTCTACTTGCTTAACAGTAATACCCCAGATATGTTTCATGCAATTCTGATTAGGCGAACATGCTGCCCATTTAGTAATATTAATGGGGTTTGTTCGAAATCATGCTATCACTCCTAGAGTTCTATGTATGCTAGCATTGCGTTGTTGAAATGTCCATTCAACTGTATCGTGTACTAGGCGTAACGGTAACATATTGTTTTGTAGAATTGTCATATACTCTGCGCTATTCATCCTTTTTGATGGATAAGCCAGTTGTAGCAGTAACAATGATACGTACGTATAACTCTATACCACGAAACTACTCCACCCAAATTTCATTTTTAACAAATATAAACATAAGAAATGATTTAAATGCGAATTAATCATAATTATCATCAATTAAATCAAAATGAAATATGATTAAAAACATTAATTTAATAATTGTATTTTAAATATATAAATTGACTAGTTAACTGCGTTTGACGAGTATACACGTCACCTTAAAGCTTGAAATGATACCAATTTGTTCAACCATGAATTCGTTATTTTTGCAGATAAATGAAAAAATAAAATAAATCGTCGTTTGACGAGTACCTTGCGTTTGACGAGTACACTTTTAATTTTTTCATTTTATTGCGCGCAAAACGAGAGACTTTTTTAACCAAATTCCACAGTTAACAGGTTAAATACTTTTAAAAAACCATATGTCAATCTCTTGTTAGTTGAAGAATTAAATTATTCATTTGCAATTTTCAGTTGTAGATATCGAACCTCGTAGTCGCCATTACGACAACATATAGTTTCGTTCCCATTTCCATTAAGAAAAATTCATCATCTAACTTGTTTACCTTACTTTTGCAGCCTGTTATTTGACTGGTTACGATAGAACTAAGTATATAGAAATTGCCGGTACGTTTAGTGTTAAAAGATGAAACGTTCCTGTCAGCTGAGTCAAAGTAAAAAATATGTAGTCCAGCGTGGTCCGAGTAGCTGGCGTTTCCATCGAACAATAGGTCGAGCTGTGTGAAAGAGTGGCGCATTAATTAAAACTCGGTACCCGTAAACGCACCTGTCTATCCCCCATCGACGTAAACGTCCCGGGAGATATGACCAGTCCCGGGTGCTTGTTCCTTTAAACCGCAACGACCGTTAATTAAAATCGCCAACGGACGAGATGCACCGCAATACTATCAATCCCTTTATTCGACGCGGAAATGGTAAATGTCCGTGAACTGCCGGCCGACTCCGTCGATCATTGATCCGAGCCGAAAAGAATACCTCGAAAACGTGACTCGAACTACTGATCGCCGGATCGTAGAGCCAGTTACCTTTCCTACATGCCCTCCCGACAGCCGTAATTATTTCAGTCGCGTGAACATTGATTTTAACGTCAATAAACGGGAGGAGGGATTTATTTCGTGTCAACAGTTTCTGTGCGCGCGGCCGTGGCGAACAATGGAGGACGTGTCGTCAATTTGTGGTACAAATAAAAAGGTGATTCCACGCGAGGAAGTAAATAAAATGGTTTCAATAGTGCTTCACACGTGACATTTTACGTTTAATGCTGGAACTATCGGTTGGAGTGACTGATTTTAATCTTCTTATTCTTATGTTACCAAA